TTTCTTCAATTTTCCATATGAGTGTCTATTCACCGTGCAATGCAGAACAACTAGGCTGTAGAGAGCAATTTATGATTTTTCCATCCGGCTGCAAAAATTTTTATTGGATGCATTTGAGTCTGTCCTCTAGCATAAAACTTGAGATTAGTTTAGGTCTGATTAATTTTAATTGAGCTTGATTAATTTTAATCAAAATTGATTAGTATTTAAATAATAATATTTTTTATTAAACTTTTGTGATAAATTTATATATTAATTTTTTGTGACAAAATTTTTGTTACAATATCTGTGTTGTAATTATATAAATATTTTTTTATTTAATATCAATTTTAATAATTAATGACTAAATCTTTTTTATCACAATTGCATTTGTGACAATTTTTTTTCACTCAATTGTAACATTTGTGATGAAAATTATTTTAACAAATTTTTTTTTTGTGATAATTAAATTTGTTACAAATAACTTATTAATAATGTAGATTTTTTTAATGTCAAATTATCACTAAGAGCATTAGTGACAAGAGTTTTACTAATGATTTAAATTCATCACTAATTTTAGTTTGTGACAAAAAATAAAGGTTTAATCACTAAATTATTAGTCACTAAATATGGACTTTCTTGTAGTGGTTATTGCCATGTCATAACAAAATTATAACAAAATACCACGTGACATTTTTTAACTACCATGTCATAGATAATTGACGGAGGGATCAACAGTGTGCATTTCTTAGAGTTGAGGGATCAAAAGTGTGCACAAAATACTTTAGGATCAAAAATGTGCAAACTGATAAAGTTAAGGGACTAAAATGAGCATTTAACCTTAATTAAAATAAAAACTGTATTTTATCATACATTACCTAAATTGCCCTTCATTCCTCTTTAAATTTCTCAAGCTTACCATTTCTTCCTGTTACAACATTTCCTCAATAACCAAGCATATATAGGCCAATTAAAATTAGAGAAAAGGAGCACTTGGAGGATTTTGGGCCCTTGAAAAGGAGATGACTTCCAAAGGAGGAGATTGAGTTTGGATAAGAACTTGTCTCCGAAAGATCTAAGGTCCATGCTAAGCAGCTTCGATTCAACGGAATCGGCGACCTCACTGGCATCCCATCATTGTGAAAGAAAATTTCAAATTTTTAGGGGTCTAAGTTACCAAAATAGCATCTACAAAATTAGAGGTGGCCTCCATTTTTTAACTTGGTCCCTTTCCTCCTGCTATTCTTTCTCAATGCATATTAATGGCAATTTGAAGCATGCTTACTATTACTCCGTGATTTTTGGCGTAAATGATCTTCTATCTATGTAGATTAAATTTGCAATTTTTGGTAGCCAATGTCTTCTTGTGCTTACAGATATTTCAAATCTAAGCTTTCATGGCTGAATATTTCAAAAAATTCTCATAAATCATAGAGAATGATTCATAGTAAGGATGTTATACAATTAGAAAGGTCTCAAAAATGAAAGAGCTTTCTGATGATATATCATGATATGCTTAATTTGGATTAGAGTGGAAGGAGATGCACACAAATAAAAAACCTACAATTTTGAAATAAGGAAAATGTATAAATGGGAAAGGTTAGCTTGAAGAAGAAGAACGGTGTGGGCTCATTAATCTAGTTAATAATTATTAATTAATTAATATGATTAATTATATAATAGATAAATATTAATTATTAATTTAAAATTAAATACGTAATTTACATTATTTTAATTTGTCACTTAGGTCAATTATTTGACATGCCATTACTATTATAGTCATGTCAGCAATAGTTAATGGTGCTAATGGTCATGTGAACAACACGTGAATTTTCCATTAAATTTTAGGTTATTCGCGGATTTTGCAAACTTAATGGTCATTTGCCCTTGGTACTGGAAGATACATTTCTTGGCTTAATTTGTATAGTTGGATTACTGACAAGAGACTGATTGTTAGCTACCTGCCATTCTCTTTCTGTCTCCCACTCTTTTCGTTTGCAAAATCAAACCATTCCTTCATATTTCCTAGCTTCTCATTTCTCAACCTCAGTTCTTCAGTCGAGTATTATAATTTATCAATAAAGTCAAACATGGAGATAGTTAACGTTGGGGAAGAAGAATTCGTAAGGACACTCATTGTCAAGGAAAAAGCCAATCCAGATGACGAAGAATGCGAGTGTCATGATCAAAATGCAACCTTTATGGTTGCCTTCAGCACCTTTGTTGCTGTTTGTGGGTCTTTTGTTTTTGGGATTGCAGTAAGTATGTCATGAACGCTGTGTTTAGGGTTTGTTTCCCATATTTATGGATCCAAATTATTAGTGTGATTGTGCAGTTAGGATATTCATCCCCGGCTGAAACTGGGATCATGGATGATCTTGGCATATCTGCGGCTGAGGTAGGACTTCTATGGTGATATATGCTGCTTCTTTTTGCTACTTAATAATAGCAGTGAGAGCAGTGCTAGAAACACTCGCTCTCGCACTCTCCAACCAACACCTGCCCATATGTTTTGCCACGTTACCCCCTATTTTAAGAGAATG